TGTTCATTGGTGTAAAACCATCTCCACCTCTGTTTTTCACAAAACTTTTCTAAAAATACTTTTCCCAACTGCAAGTTTTCTTTCCCACTTATCTCCTTCTCGTTCTTCTCTTCTTGGTCTCCATGCCAACAGCCTTGATAGAATACCTTTCAGAAATAACCCTTATTCATTAACCCTCTCTGGATCACAGACCAGCTGTGAGCCCCCTTCCATAATCCAGTGTAGGTGCTGGGGGGTGCTGGATACTGGGGGGATGTGGTGGTTTGGCTGTTTCTCTCCCTGACAAGGACAAACTTTGATATAAGAGTTTTTTCAGACAAGTGTCACCTGGAGTCAGGACATTTCTTGCATTTGTTCTGGAGCTCTGCAGCAAAATAATCCACAGGCCGGGTATTAAAACATAAATGCATGAACTACAACATTCTTCCTTGATTACCCAATGCCTAATTCTGTCCCTACACCTTCTTATATGAAGAAAACAATAGCAAGAACACTTCTGAAGGAGGAAGCATATCTCACGAGCTCCTTGTGACCACTTGGTGGGAAACTGTTGGGGGTTGAATGCTTCCCTTTTCTTTCTGTGGAATTTCTCCCATTGTTATGCTAAGTAGTTGTGGCTACACCTTCAAACGATAGATAATGTTCTCTCGCAGGGGGGTGGGTGAAGGGGGAGGGGGGGAACCGGAAAAAGGAAAGGTGGGATGGGGGGTCTGGAGCTGGGCTCTCTCTCTCGCTTGGCTCGTGGAGTGGGAGGATGGCCTGGGCTCCGATCTGGCATCTCCCCTGCCATCCCAGCACTGAGATCCACGCTCCCTGCCTTTGGACATCGCTCTGCTGCTCTCCCACCTCACCCTACTATCTCTGGACACTCTGCTGAGCACCACGACCGACACCATGAGGGGGAGTCACTTTCCCCATCCCCTCTCACCCCTGGGCCGCTGCCACCATCACCCAGCCCTCTTCAACTGTGCGGGACCTGCCCTGCCCCCACAGCACCGGTAACTGAGCGCAGGGAGATGGCCTGCGGCCAGAAGGGACTGGAGCTGAGCTAGACTGTTCTGTTCTGTTGTCAATTTTTATAGCTGT